ACAGTGCTTACGCTTAGAATGCTATACGCCATCTCGGTTGCCGTGGTGTTCGCCACCAAGTGCTATTAAAAATTCATCTTAAGTAGGACGTTAAAATTGTTTTATGTATGTTTTAGCCGGTGCGATTGTATGGGCCAGTTGATCCGACTGGTTCTGGTGCTTCAGCACAAATACAAGGCCCTCCAACCCCGGGAACTTTGGTTTCACCCACTAGTCCCAATGCCTGGTTTCATGCAACACCCCAACTCATGTGCCCACCTCATCCGACATCCATCACTGATGCCTTTAATTTTGCCCCTCCTAGATCTCAAACACCTTCTGCACAGTCACCCATTTTCCCTCCTTCAAATTCCCAATTTAAAGCCTCTGGTAGTAGCAGTAATGTAGAATCAACGACAGTGGTGAGTTTCTGAATAGCGCACTATTGAATATTTTCCGGTTTTAATAAAATATAGCTCCATTTTTCTGCTCTTTAGCATTCTCAAATCCGATCGACGTCAAATAAATAGGGCAGATTAGATTTCTTGCTCATACGTGTGCCTAATTTACTTTGCACTGTTTGTGTAATGTTGTGGCTCTCAATATCGATATGAGACTTACTCCCCACCTCCCTCTCTTTTGCCTCAATGAGTTATCAATCCTTTCGATCAATCTGCGTATGGCTCCTTCGTCTTTTTACTTTCGTATTGACCTATCACCGCCTGTTCCCATCTTTCCCGGAGAGGGAGGCGGAGGTGGGAGGTGAGAATTCAACTCCCTTTCGTGGCTGCATATATCAGTGCGTGGCACTCTTGCACTAAAACCCTCGTTCTCCCCTCTCTCTGCATTCCCCTCGGATCCCTCCTCCTTAGCTCTCTCACCTCTCACTTTTACATTTACTTGGCTAATGATACTTGCATATAAACCAACTACTACTCACTATACTATTATGTTGTTTTTCTTGGCTGTGTTCTGCCTCTATGCACTTATTGTGTTCAAGTAGTTGTTTGATTTGATTAGCAGCACTATCCTGTGTAACTATTTGGCACTTTTTGTATAATGTTGTCAAAATTCATAATTTGAAATCAACTTCTACAGATTTATGCAATAAATTCAGCGAGCAATGCACCTCTTATTTCTACACAGTACATGGGATTATTACTTACTTGTTTGGTTGCAGGGTTGATTGTTAGCTTTATGATCGTCGAAACTTGTGAGCTTTTCATTAAAGACATTAATTGTTTCAATAGGTATGCAGACCCAATATATCTTTCCTTATTAATGCATTCACAATTTCAACATACATCAAAGAAAGTTTTATAACAAATGGCAGGCGTTTTGATAGTTACCATTGGCCCTTTAGTTGACTTCGGGCTTCACAGAGGGGAGGAGGAACATCAAAGTGGCTTCACAGAGGGGAGGAGGAACATCAAAGTGGGAAGAATTCGGGAGGGGGAATAGAAGAGTGATTCACAGATGTAAAAGAAACGGACAGGCACAAAGGCTTAGAAAGGGTAAGATGAGTAATGTGGAGTAGTCGAATATGACATAGAGTGGGGTGATGGCTGTTTGAAGTGAGAAGTCAACTGCCGGTTAATAGACCTTTTTGCCGTATGAGATGTCAACTGCCGATTAATAGACTTTTTTGCCGTATGAGAAGTGATAAGTCAACTGCCGGTTAATAGACTTTTTTGCCGTATGAGTGGGTTGCCCAGGGTGCACCGCGTGGAGGTAAGTCTATCGCAACAACTGCCGGTTAATAGACTTTTTTGCCGTATGAGTATACGGTGCCCAGGGTGCACCACGTGGAGGTAAGTCTAAATATACATTGCCCAGGGTGCACCACGGAGGTAAGCCGAATGAGAATACGTTGCCCAGGGTGCACCACGTGGAGGTAAGGTGTGAGTGTACGTTGCCCAGGGTGCACCACGGACTCTTTTGCCGTGTATACGTTGCCCAGGGTGCACCACGTATAGGTAAGTCTATCCCACACCCCCCATCAAAGAAAGTAGATTCACGCGTACCCCTTCTCCAACGGAGATCTCATCTATTTCATCAATATCTAGTAGTAGCATGTGGGCTATAGAGATAGTCATTGATAGGGCAATTAGCTTTGAGACTTTTGGTAAAAATTAAGTTATAAAGTGCCCGGCTAAAGTGCTGATGGCAACATCTGGAAATTAGGTCCAAAAAAACCCTAGAAGACCTCATATTGGTTTTGTGCCAATTATAACTGTTCATGATGTGCGGTCAAGGCCTCTGAGGGGCAAAATTAGAACTGTTCAGGTTAGTGATGCATGGTGAACTATGTACTTGGCAAAAGTCGAGTGGAACAATTTTACCATGCCTAAGCAAAGGAGTTTTTTAAGATAGTTCTTTAATTGGAAAACGTAGGAAATAATCTAACCAGACTCTTGGGGGGGGGGGGGGGTTGAGATCTCGTCAGTGGAAGGCAGAGATTGGCTGTCCTATGGTAATCACAATTGCAGGATAATTGCTTTTAAACTAATGCCGCCTCTTCGTGGCTAGACATTATGGGGGGGGATGCATTATTTGCTTAAATAATAATAACAATAGCTAATAATACATTATAATCGGTCTAGTTTAATAATATTTTTTTCTTCACTAACGGCCACCATTCTGCAGCTAGTAAACAAAGGCTCGTTCCCCTTGACGCAATTTTAAGAGACAATTATGTTTAATAATATTGGTCAAAAGAAATAAAAATAAAAAACGGACCTTTTGGACTCACTGCAATGAATATCGTCGGTTTCGAATTTCAGCATTTTTTATCACCTATGTAAAATGAAAAAGACTACTACACTTGGAAGTAATGGAATGCGTACACGTCTCAATAATACTCAGACTATACTATTTCCTTATTTT